CAATGCAGTTCTTCGTCTCATGTTCATTGACCCTATAACATAATCACTTTTAAATTTCAGTTGGATAAAAATAGGTTTTTTGTTTAATGTAGTTTCTTTGGGTTCTTTATCTTCACATTTTGTACATTTCTCTATAAATTTTAATGGGTATCCGTTGTTCATTAAACACCTTTTGATATTCACTAGCGCCTCTTCTAGTGTATCGGTTGTATATGTTCTTTCTGTTCTGTGTAATGGTGTTTTAACAAGTATCTATGTAACTGAGTAACCAAAAGCTATTGAAATTGAGACAAATCCCATTCCATGTATCTTCCTCAAAAAAACTGAACGTTGGACGACGCCAACCTCCCTTCACTTTATTGCGATGTCGATAAAATGGAATTTATTCTCATTTTGACCTTCCATTATAAACTGGATATTTTTATGAGCTTCACTTTAGAGTTTCAGCAGATTAGTTGCATGTTGTTGATTATTACATACGATAATGGGGTAGTCAACAAACTTCGAATCATATACCATTTCTCTAAACGCTCTTTTGATTTTGGTTGTCTTGAGATTAACCGTGAAACTATCTGCTAGGGTAGAATATATCGGACTTCCTATTGCTACAACATCAGTTCATTGGTATATGACATTATTGAACTGCAATTCAAAATCTTTTGGACATATCGTTTACAGTCGTTTGAGTTCTGATGCTGGTAGAGGTAGGATGTCAGAATGCTGGCAAATTCGTTTTTATAAGTATGTCCATATCTATAATAACTTTGATTTTAAAAAATACTATAGGTTGTAAGAACCTAACGAAATCAAATGTGTTCATATTATTCTGCCCCAATCTCGTTTTTTGTTCTTTTTAAGACAATAAAGGGAACCATGTGTATAAAAGATATATTCATGTATAAGTTCACTTGGTATTGTTTACTTGAATTTTCCTATTGAGGTTTAGGACAGCAAATGATCAGTCTCTTATTGGCATATGTACATACTGTGAGTATTGCCTCGATGTTGCCTTAATTTAAAAGGATTATAAGCAAAGTTGGATAACGCTTTGCTGTTTGGAGCGAACGATATTGCGTTCGAGTCTCAGAATGAATATCAACTTTAAAATGCAGGCACACCCAGCTGACAAGTTCCAAATAGAACGAAACGCGTATCCTGGATTCCATCGCCAGCCATCTTTGCTGATATTCATATATATTTGTTTTTCATTTATCATGATCCATATCAACAGTACTCTGAAATCCAAGACATTTTTCACGCTTCTGTTGACGACTAGTTTGTGTAGGAGATCTAGTCTTCAACAGAAGCGTGAAAGAGGTCTTCGATTTCATTTCAAAAGTGGAACATATAAACCAAAATGGGAAACGGATAATACACTTAAATGTTATAACAATCAAATTAAAAATTAAGTTAAATATTTTTTTCTCTTCTCTTCTTTGATTGATCTGATCATCTTTTTTTCCCTAACTTTAAATATTCCTTCTATGTTTCTATGATTTGTTCTAAAGAATATTCTGTCAATGTTTTTTTATAGAATACAATAGTAAGATTATAATTAGAACAGTATTTCACACTACATAGGGAAATGTTACAATTTAATACTTAAATATTTATTTGTGGATTGTTTTAGTCTGTCATTTTAATAAAAGCAGCACTATTTACAGAACAATCAAATTCTATAGCAATATGAACAGATAATCAATTGTTGACGATAGCAGAATTAATATAATTGTTTATATTGAAATGTATACTGTAGAAAAATATATACCGCCTGAATATATTTTTTGACCGACACTTTTATCTATATTTCTTTATCCATTAACATATTCAACGGTTGAATAAGTAATTATTCAAATGGGATGAAATTTGTTTTATTATATATAGTTAGAAATATGAATTAACATTGCCTACAATAATTATTATATAATTTGACTTATTAACCAAATCTAACAATTGGTCAGCATCAATTGCAGTAATAACGCTTCCAAGTTTTTCATTTGCTGTATATATACATTAGGTACATTAAATAAATAAAAAGACACTCTTATCGTCTTTGAATTCTACTAATTTGAGATACTCATTAAGTTATGAAAAAAGAATCAATATCATGTCTATTCACTAATGCTGTCTGCATGCTATCAACTGGTATACCATCAGATTACTTAATTAAGTAAACTATGACAATGGTCAATCATTTGCTAGATTTTAGATGGCTAGAAGTAAGACGAAGCTATGAATACATGCTTTATTTCCTTCTACATGCATCTTACTGTCTAGTGCCTTCTGATTAAATAGTTTTTTGATTGACGTTTTACTCTGAGAAACGTATACTTCGCCAGTGATTATTACTTTTAAATCAGTAACAAATTAAAGTTAAAAATTAACATAAATGTTTGAATTTTGATCTTCAAGTCAGATGGAATATTCTATAATTCCTGAAGTTCTTTTTATTCTAGACGAATTAGATAAAAATACATTAGTTTCTGGGATTTTTGTTGAATTGGAAACAAAAGTGAAGTCTTTTGTTTGTTTTCAGTCAGAAATGCGTAATAAATATTTTCCATTAGTTATAGATGAATGCCAAACCTGAAATATACATTCATAGTATGTATTTCTTCAAGTACTTGGTACTTTACTGGTTATTTAAATATTTTAGATGTGAATAAAATTCATGGAAATTATTGTGTATATTTCCAACACCAAATATTTTTAACAAATCACTTGCCAATTATTTTAATTTGTCAATATTTATGATATTGATTGTGCTTGTTTCGAAACCCAAAATGTACAAAACTGAGATATTTTTCAGTTTGAGTTGTGTGGAAATTTTTGGGAATTAATCCAGCTCTATAAATCATGCTGCCATTCATTATTATCAAAGTTAAATAATCGGTTTGAACAGCATTAAAACATGGTTTGAAAACTATACATCACTAGTATATTTTTGAGTTCAAAAACATTTCAAATATTTGATATCTGTTTGTTTCAGCGTATTGTTTTTTCAAGGAATAGTTTCGTCATTATATTGGATATTCGACTGAAGATATAAAACAATTTTTCACTGCATAGCTTTTTAAAATATTTGAATGATAGATGGAGCTGATTAGACGTATTCATTCAGAGTTAGATTTGTTGATGAATGTATGCTATTAGTCGAGGTTCGCCTTGATTATCAGACGGACTTATTTCTATATTTATGAGTTATGGGTATGTTTCGCTTGGAGATTTCTAATAATACTTTCTATTTATCTTTTGTTTTCTCACTCATGTTGCTGGTTGGTCTGGAGCATACGAAGTGTGACAACCAATATCAGAATCGGATAACTGGTCAACACACCATTAAATCAGTTAACAAATATCTAACCCATCTTTCATTGTGATTTGATCATATGTGTTTTCTAATTATTACCTCTTATATATCATTCAGTAAATGTTAATTATTTTGGAAAATAAATTATAGCAACAAAGAAAATTCCCGAGAATGAAAATGTGAATATAATTGGGTGCTATTTTCGCACATTTATTTTAGTTGCTACAAGCTTTCTTTTCGATTCGAATGGATTATTATATTGCTTTGGACTAACAATCTGACTATTTGCGATTACGAATTCTGTGATTATTTCACTGACTGTTAACATAATTAGCGCTTTTAATCGATTTTATTATAAACGGAGTAGATCAATTTCACATTTAACCCTTGGTTCTTAAATACTTTTAAATAAATTGCTTTTTTTGATGACTACTTACACGAAGCCATGACCATAAATATTGCGTAACAACAGATTTCACACTGTAGTTAAGACCAGTTTCCTATACATTGTCAGCTATTATTGTTTGAATAATCAGAGAAAAAACATTTACTTAACTTTTGTAGTAGAATTACATGTTTTATCTACTCATTTTTCAAAATGTAGTTTTCACTAAATATACAATCTGAATAGGAATTATATCAGATTAGTTATGAAATAATCTATCAAAATCTAGATTTTCTAGATACATAAATGTGTTGAAACTGAGGTTTAAGGTTAATGATATTTATAGTCATTAAAAAGAAGTAGAACAATAATGATGTCTACCATTTCTTTCTGGAAAGACATTATTTAAATGGATTGTTATTCATAGCGCAGTTGGATAAACTTTGTCTGCAAAAAGAATAGTCACACTGAAGTATCAGTTTGTTAAATCTTGGTATGTTGGAATATTTTCGATCTAATTTTAATTACTGACTATTAAATGTTTCATATTTCTTTGTTATCAGTCAGCCAGTCAGTAACAACGTAGAACTTCGTACGTACGTACATCAGTTCGAGTTGCCACACCACATTGGCACAGAGATGCAGTTGCCGATTCAAATCCCGTAGTGGTAGAAGCGGTAAGAGTATAAGCAGTAATCAGAAAGATTAAGGTTTGAAGATGTTATTTAAAGAGTACAATCCAGCGAAATAAATTTGAAAAGAGAAAAAGGGGACATGACAAATTCAGAAAATTAGAATTTGGGAGAACACAAAGAGTGGACGCACCTGCGCCATTGCAAACGATTTTGAGCCATGTCATTCAGGGTCTCTAACCATCGGTTGCTATTATCTCGCGGTCCCCAACCAAGTAGTCTACACCTACCAACACGGCTCAGTTCACTTGTCAGTGACTTTTTTAACAAGTCAAAAATTTCTTTGTTATAGGTTCATCTTTGCAATAGACAGTGATGCTATTATGCAGACCACCATTACAATCTTAGAATTTAAACGGTTTTGCTAAGAGAATAATACACTAGCAAAAGTATTCACCTGAGCTACAAATCTTTTTTATCATCTGAAAACCATAATACTTCTGTATTACTGTTCAGTGAATGCATAAATCAGCAAAACTAACAAAAGTTCTCTTTCCCAACTATCTAATGACAATAGAATGTTTAAAAAAACATGATAATTTTAAAGTATAAAACACAAGCTTATTTCCTTAAAACAAATATGTTTGATTTATGGTAAATGCTAAAAACTTACCATTCATTCTTGGAGAGAAAGATGATGGTGAAACTCTAGATGGTAGATATTGATGATGTTTTACAATTGGAGATTTTCGAAATCCTTCAGAATAACGCCCTGGACTTGAACCTCCTGAACCAGTTAAATTAGAATCATTTGGTTGATCAAAACGTGGTACATCCAATGAAAAACTTTTTGTAGATAATAATGGATCTGTTCGCGTATATATTTATATGAATAAAAGAGAATATAGACAATGTTTAATTGTATATATTTTGCTTTGAAATATTTCGTTTATAAAAACTATCAGGAAAGTTAACATCATTTTTTCTATAAAACGGTTACATGTGAATTAAAAAAATCAATAATGAGGTACTCATTGATTTTCTTTCAAATGTTGCCATATTTTTTTTAACTATCTATATATATCAGTATATGAAGCAATAATCCGGAAAACACCTTAAGAATTTATTTAGTAGGTTTCGGAAAAGAAAAAAAGATTCTGTTATGTCTCACCAGAAAAATTTGAGTTTTATTTCTAGTATCTAATGTGTTTAGATATGCTTCGTCTTTCTGCACAAAATAATATCAAAGAATGAAAGTCTGATTATCTTGTTAACCAAATATGAATAACCATAACCGTAATAAAGGCCAGTTGATGACGCTTAATATGTTGTTTTTTCCCACAATATGAATTTATTTCTCTGTCAGTGAATGAATGAACAATACCTCAATAAACTTATGTTCATATTATGTTATTTGGTTAATAAACATAGTCACTAAGAAATATGATTTTATAGAACCACTTCTTAAACATTAAACCGAATGATTGTAAGGTGTAAGGTTAAGTTATTTGGACATTTAGTACTGAAGTGTCACTTAGAGACATATTTTAATTAGATTAGATAAATCTAACCTCTGAGAACATATCAATGAATTTCAGCTTGAAGATATTTATTAATTAAAAGTGTGAAAAACATGAAGCCTCGTGATTATTAAATTTAGTTCAGGAGAAATGTATATTACCGCCGAATTGAAAGTTTAGCACACCATCGATCGATTTAAAATATGCCTTTTTGATTCTAAAGTTATCTTTCAGGCAATCAATAAAGAATCTGGATAAAACAAGTGTTTTACATCAGAACTATTGAAATCTGTTAGCGTATAGTAGTTTTAAGCAGTATATTATTTTTACAAGGTTAACTATTAATATTTTCATCTTAATATTCTGTAAATCATTGTCTAACCACATTGTTCTTGTTGCGAAAGAACAGCCTACATGTAGTTTTTCAGATTATTATAGTTATAAATAAATGAATGGAAGAATCCACTGCTTACAAGGTCATATTTAAGTTGTCTAAAAAAATCAGAAGTCATAAATACACATTGTTATCTATTTTAACATGTTCACTTCACCAAATAGCTTATTATTATTATTCAGTGAACTATTAGTGAAAATAGTTATTTTTAAAGAGTTTACTATGACCAAAGTAAATTGGTAAGAAAATCTAATTGATTCATATATTAATTTCAATGTATAAGACCATGAGTCAGTTGAAGCTAGACCACCATGGAAAACCTGGAAGCACTGGACGGCCGTTTCGGCCTATTGTAAAACTCCTCAGCATTGCTCATCCATGGCCTCGTCTCCTGCGAGATTCGACCCCAGAACCTACTGGGTTTCGCGCGCGAGCACTCAACCATTAGACCACTGAGCCGGCATCCAACGGTGTTAATGTCTAACTTCACGAAATTGAGCGACACATCCACAAAACCCATCTGATATTATTCAACATGTGCTCACTAGTGACTGGCTTCAAGAGGTATTTCCTGGAGTTCTAGTGAGAAGTAGTGACCAGTGGAGTTCAACCAGGTCTGTTGTGAGTTAGTAACTCACTGAAGACAATTGTAGATGTGTTGCTCAATTTTGTGGATTATATGAAGTTAAACATTAACACCGTTGCATGACTTATGATCTTAGCCATTGTAATTAATATCCACAAAAACCATGTAATATTGATTCATATATTACTAAAAGTCTATATAAAATTCATCATTTTATACGTTTAACTCAAACGATTTCAGTCTATGATTACGAAATGAAGTTTTCCTTATCATTCTAAGCGTTCCTTACTCTGTACAAAGTAATTCTATTGTGATGTTCGTGTGATGTATGATACAAAGCATTTATTTATTTTTTTGTTTGAATTCTATACATAATACTCGAAAGTGGCCTCGAAAGATTCTGATTATTTCATCTTTCTATATTATGTTTAAACTGCTGATTTTATACTGACAACTTTAGTACATAGGTTCAGCTAAAAACTAACATAACCAAATTATTTATTGAAGACTTATGCCTTACAAAATCTCATATCAAAAGTCAGTATATCTCACAATCCCAGTTAACCGTATCTTTTTGTTCCGATTTACACATACTACTTCTTGAAATTAAAACAAATCAGTAGCACAATATTTATTCTATGATTATTTGGAAAATAAACATCATAAATTCAAAATTCAAACTATATTGTTTTAAATGTATATTGCTTACTAAACTCTTAAAACGGAAAACAGATCAGATCAAAATGTTTATTTACAATAATATTTGATCTTATCACTCCTTGATCAATATATATACATCAATGTTCTATTTCTTTCAAAAAAATAAAAACTTGGTTTCCTTAACTAGTCACATGATTTGATAAATTACCTTCAATACAATATAAACATTCTCATGTAATTCAGTTTTTATTTGTTCGATATATTTTGTAGAAGTAAAAGATATTTGTGAATGGTTAGAAAAGAATTTTCATGATAAATAACTGACCAACTGGAGAATAATTACGAACCATTAAACCTGAAACGATTGGAATGAATTATATATCATAATGAAAATTATCTAAATGAATGAAATTGTTTCCATTCTAAATTTTAACTATATAATGAATAATAAGCTTTGTGTATAAATGTTCTAAACATTTATGGTGATTATCAGAAGAGTACTGATATTTATGAAACCATATTCTAACGTTTTCATTGTCGATAAGACTATAATTTATGAACGATCTATGAGCGACGCTAAAATGCCTTCGAGAGTGTCTAGTAATAACTAGGACCGAATGAGGGTTATAAACCAGTGTGAGGAATTAGAATCATGATTTACAATTGATGGTTAAGGTTGGGAATTAGACATCACCTATAATGCTAAAACGCTATTTAGCCAAATGGATGGGTGAATTTCGCACCAAAATCTAAGACATGCTAACTTGTACCTGACTGGTTAGTCCGTAAATTATAGTCTCGCTTCATTGACTTCAACAATGTCGAGTCTTTTCAAATTATAAAAGATAATCAGTCAGATCCATTGATATTGTGACTACATTTCCATTTACATGCTAGCCACTTTAGTTAATCAGTATTTTGTTGAAATTATGTGAGTTAAGTGGTGTGTTATATATTTGTAATATCTCAATGAGATGGAAAATTGGATTCCTAACGTTTCTTGCCACAATATGACATTCCTACAAATAATAAAATAAATAACTAAACCAAATCAACACAAGTTTAACTAGTAACATAAGATTATCCATCCCTTGTTTAATATTTAATAAGTGTGCAATTTCTAGCAGTTTTTGGCAATTTTTCCGTTCATTAAATAGGTTGTCACTGAGCATAAAGGTATAATTATTTTATTGAATATTTCATCTCAAGCATCTGAAATTACAGTGAACACTTCAGTGTAGCGCATTCTAACAGGCCGAATGAAAAATACAAATGAAGTTAAAATGTAGGCTCGAAATTGAATTCCTAGTGAAAATTACAGTGATATTAAACAGCAAAACACCAGATGAACAAAAATACGCTTGAAAATGCTAGATTCTACACATCTATTGAGTACTGAAAACGAATATATAACTTCTGCCAAATAGTACAGAGGAAAAAACAAGTATTCATTCCAAAACAGAACAAATATGATCTTGTTGATAGCATATCATCTAGGTCAAAAAGGAGGAAAGATATGGTTCAATTCATGTATTTATGATTTGGCTATAAAAATTAAAATATTTAATGTTTTTGATATTATTTTGAAGGTCGTTAAAAATAGCTATACTTGTAAATTCACTTAGTGTTGTCTGCTTGTATCTCAACATGGTTACTTAGGACAGTAATTGATCAGTCTGTTATTGGCATGTGTCCATATTGTGCGTATGCCTCGATATTGCCTGAAGTCACAAGCTTTATAAGCAAAGATGTATAATGGCTGTCAGTGGAGTCCAGGACTCGCGTTTCGTCCTATTTGGTTCTCGTCAGCTGGATGTACCTGCATCTCAGAGTTCATGTTCATTCATGGACTCGGACTCAGTAACATTCACTTCAAACACCATCACGTTATCTACTTCGCTACTGAGTCCTGATAGCCACCTAATTGTGCAATGGGGTGAAGTTTAGATTTACTTGTTATTGTTTGCTCGTATCTTTTCACTGGCCAAATGGATAACGCAATAGCGTTTGAAGCGAACGACACAGGGTTCGAGTTCCAGAGTGAACCTCAACTCTGAGATGCCGGTACATCCAGTAGGCGAGTCCTAAATAGGACGAAACGCGAGTCCTGGACTCCACTGACAGCCATTATACATCTTTGCTTATAAAGCTGTACTTTTTTTCGAAATATAAAACAAATGAGGTACATGTACTATTTTATAATAAATATATTTTTAAATGTGACAAATTTAAACCAGTTTTGTAAATGATAGATATATAACTAGGGAATAAATATTTAAATGAGGATATCCAATGACTGAACTCTTGAACGATATGTATTCCAAATGTTTGCATAAGCTATTTTTATATTCGCAGTAATAAATTTTTTTAACTAAATGTTGAATACATGTAAAAATGTAATATTTTAAAGCAATTTGTTGCACAATCAATATTTAAAAAGTCAAGGAAACAACAAATTGTTTGAAAGGTTAATTTCGTCTAACAAATGTACTTTTCAGTCGACATTTTAGCTTCTTTCACTCTCAAAGTTTCTAGTGTTGTCAATTTCTATTTGTAAATGTTGAATCACAGATGAATTTATGTGAAGTCTTTTTATATTTTAAACTACGTATTCGTGTTGTAGAAATTATTTAGTTGAAAATATATTTATACTCTTTGATATGGTGAGAAACGCTGATTTTTATACACTTTCTGTGTTGATAGAAAGA